ACCACTGATGCATATTTCAAAAAAGTTTACATAGCATCAGCATATTTAAGACCCTTAAGTTCTTGTTTGTATTTGGAGAAATCAGTGTAACTCCCATGTGCTGAGACCATCAACTGAATTAATGATTCTGAAATCATATAAGCTATTGCCATATTACAATTTGAGTAAGACAAAATCCAAAGCAGTTTAGGTAACATAAAATACTGAATAATCATGAAAATTAGTGGATTGTGAAATGAATGACCACCTACCGTCACCGATGAAGCTGGCCCAAGTCTCTCTAGTTTATTAAAGAAGGCATAAAGTATATGAGAGTGAAAGAATTTACAATGCCTCAAGCTCAAAATACACCCACTCAGTTGTTTTCTAGATGCTGTTTGCAAACTATTACAAAAGAACATTGTCTATTTTACTGGTCATTTGAGTTTTTGCATCAAATAAATCCCTACGTTGCTTCATGCCCAGCTTTGCCCTTTCATCATTTAAATCATACAGCTTGAATTTGGACTGACTCATAATATGAATATGATAAAAATCCTGGATATTTAACTCTTATCACTGATGTCATGTTAGGTTTCCAGACCATTGGCTAAATTAATTCTACTCACCTCATTCTCCACCTCTCCAACTGAATCAGTGTGGTATCTGTGGAAAAGAATCTCCTGCACCATACTGTGCCCATTTTCCAAATTGTACTAAACTAAAAAGCAACTAGTTACACACTATGCTTTGGTGGATCCCAGACAATATGAAAGAATTCTAATACTATGTGTCCAGAATCTAGGGCAGCATATAAACCTGATAAATACTGAGTGAAAGAAAGTACGTCTGCTCCTCAATGCATCAGGACTATATTCACACAGGTTCATTGTCTCAGTAAGAATGCTTTCAGCTATAAGCAACAGAATATTCATCCAAGAGTATTGAACAATAAGTGCATCTAATTATCTCATGTAAAAGAGACCTTGAGATGGGTAGAAGGAGTTCATAAGCAATAGCTTAACATAACAGGGTGCTGGGTTTGTTACTCTCCCATATTCTTCCTCATGCTGCAAAATGTCTGCAGAAGCTTCCAGTGTCACATCCATACAGCAATGGCCCAAATGGGAAGGAATGAGAGAGTGGCAAAAAGGAGTTTCCTTCTTACTTGCTTCCCTTTTAAGAGGAAGGAAGCATAAGTTGCTATCTTTTTACATCTCATTGGCCATAACTGGGTCCATGACCACCCACAGAGCATGATAGACCGGGATAGTCTACCATGTTCAGTCCTTGGAGGCAGTATCACCTATTAGAAAGACAGACAGGGAAGAGGGATGACCGCTGGAGTGCAACCAGCAGTGCCCACCACAATGCGTAACTCTGCTTTAATATGTAAGGGAAGTCAGAAGCAAGGGTCAAAGCCTTAACTTATCCTAGTAGATGTCAGTGGTAAGTAAATTCTGTGTTGTTATTTTATTTATGTAGACATAGATGAGGAAAAAGGTGATATGATGTTTCTTATCAGTCTGGGAATCTCATGTACTATGGGGCCCAGGAAATAAGACCATTTATCAGAGCTTTTGTAGCTTTACACATATTTTTTAAAAAAATGACCAGGGAGAAACACTGCTAGAGAATAGCCTTTAAAATGAGTTCATTGAGCATCAACAACACTATAAAAAGTAGACATGAAACTAAAACCAAAAAAGGAAAATGCTATTTGTAAAAATATAATCCAAATCAACCTGGATAGCATTCAGTGGGTGCAGACAGAAGAGGGGCTAGAGAGGAAAGGGGTGGTTCATGGTCACATTATCAGGGCATAAAGGAAGCAGAGTAAAACTGAAAAGCCTTCTGAGCAGAAGGAGGGAGCACGCAGAGCCTAGTGGGCTGTGGGAGATCAGCCATGGACACGGGTTGTTTCAGCCTCAGGCCCACACACAGGAAAGAAGCAGATACAGATGTCAACTGGGAGGCAAACTGGATTGGAATCTTCCATATGCAGTGATTCATTCTGTTGCTGGTAGAGAGACAGTTCTACAAAGTACTACAAACAGCAGCAGCCTGTCCTATCATCTTCTTATCTGCACAGACTGTCAAGGATACCATGAGTCGACCCCCATGATTCCTGCTCCTTGGCATTTATGCTCTGTATGGTCCCCTCCTGGAGTGTGGGGGAGAGCAATGACTTGGTTCTAGTCATAGAAAATGACAAAAGTGAAGGTATTTTGCAAAAGTAATTAGATCTCAAATAGTTGATTTAGACTTAATCAAATCCTATTTATCCTGGGAGGTCCTGACTTAATCAGGTAAAAACCACAGAGCTTCTCCCTGAAGTGAAAGACTCTCCTTGTGGGCATCATGAAGTAGTGACCATGGTGAAGAAGCCCTCATTGCATGAAACTACAGGAAGCCTCCAGGAACTGTGGGCGACCTCCAGGCAACAGCCAACAAAAAGCTGGGGCTCTCCGTCATACAGCCAGAGGAAATAAATTCTGCCAACAACCTGAATGAGCATGAAGAGAATTCCTCCCCTATTAAGCTTCCACATGAAAATGCAGCCCAGCCAACACCTGGAGTACAGCTTTGGAAGATCCTGGGCAAAAGACCGGCTAAGCTGCGCCCAGACTCCTAACCCATGGAAACTGTAAGGTAAAAAAATGTGTGCTATTTTTAGCTGCTAAGTTTGTGTAATTTGTTATGCAGCAATAGAAAACTAGCACATTATGTTACTCTTCTGGTATGTCTTTTCTACCATCAACAATTTTTTTTTCCCCACTGCAGGTCTTTTAATTATTAGCAAAAACTTTGATTGTTTCCCCAAAACAAACAGGTCATGATTTTAATAGTTGAAATATAGACTGAAAAGCAGATAGTTGTGGAGGGTAGTGGAGAGAAGGGAGCCTCAGTTAGTAATAACAGGTAACATTTGTTGAGTATTTACTATTTGCTATGAGCATTGACACTGGGCCTTTTTCTTTTTTTTATGTACATATTTGAACTCACTAAAATAAGGCAGGTACTGCTAGCTCCATTTTACAGATAACTATTTTTACAGAAACTGAGGTACAAAGAGTTTGAGGAATTTGTCTAAGTTTACTGAACTAGTAATTCATAAAGTTAATTTGTTTGAGTTTAGGTACTATGGCCCCAGAGCCTATATTCTCAGTCACTAAGATGTATTCATTCTCAGTAGGAATAGATGGTCAAGCTTTAGCCACGTCTAATAATATAAAGACATCAATCAATAAATATCTCATTGTATGAGGATCATTGATAAATTACTATCAGAAATATAACCCCCGAGGGATTTTGCTCTAATGCACTATTTGAGAGCTGACTTACTCAACATCCCTCCTCCATGGCATGGTATCTTCACCCCACAAACAACCAACTCTGTGAGACGTGCCAGTAGAATATACTTTAAAACATTACATTTTAAAAGCTGCAAAATGCATGAACTAAAGTCAAGATATGAATCTAAGACTAGCCAGGGAGGCGATAGGCTATAGTGGAAAGAGAAGTGGAGAGGGATATAGACGAACTAGTTGAGCGTTGGTGAATAAGCCATCAAATGTCTCTGGATTTCCATTACACAATCTGTAAAGTGGGGTTCATAGTACCACATCATAAACCTGTTGTGTACACCAATGGAAAAAGAAAGGTATAGGAATGAGAGTAAGAGATTTATAAACTGTAAAATTCTGCAAAAATGGGTGCCATTAGCCTATCGTCAGAGGGGTGAGCACAGAACATTATTTTCTCTGTATTGTGCAGAATAATTCTGAAGGGATAAAAGTTGGAGACCACTAAGAAAGCTTCTTAGCATAAGAATTTTATGTTTAAAATTCACTTAAATAAAGAAAAAAACTACTGTCCTACCAAGACAAGAAATATTTTGTTCTAGTCACAGTACAGATATAATATTTAAGTACTAGACATTTAGATTTGGTTCTTTGGGACAACTCTGCCATTTTTTTGACCTGTTAGGTCTGAAGATATGTTTAAGTGGTAAAAAGAAAAATTATATTTTGAGGTGATTGTAACTACTCTTTATATTTTCTGAGATTGCATGTGTATATCTATTTAACCCTTAGAAACAGGGCATGAAATGAACGGATCATGGGTGTATCATGAGAGCCTTTCCCAAAAGGCAACATTTATTTTCAGGTGTTTAGATTGCCGAGACAAGGATTTCTCTCCAACGTACAATTCATCATCCTCCTTACTCACTGTAAAATCAATCTGTTCTGTTTGTATGACATAAACAACAAGTCATTTTTCAGGAATGAGGCAGACCATATGTGAAGGTGTTTTGGGAAAGCACAACGGGGAATACGCCAATCAAAGCGGCATCTGCATTTTATTTCAATGTCAAATCACATGTGTGTTATAAAAAGGAAAGTCTATCACTTTTATTATAAGAAGAACTTTCCTGTTGTGATGTTTATAGTTAACTCATACCTTCCTTAAGCAACAAATTCAGGTCAGCCACATAAATTACTAGCCAAGAACAGAAAAAGATCTCACTCTGTGTGGCCAGTAACATGTGCATTTTGCAAGCGTCTTGGCATCTGCCCACTGCCCACCCCAAGGCAGGAGGAAACTTACACTAATCCATGACATGCATTTTCCCGAGAATCAGCGCTTTCTCATCCATGTAATGATGAATATCAAAGCAGCTTGCAATTGATACAAGCAGGAAACTATAAAACGATTAGCAGGGTTCTAGGGAGAATTTATTTCTTATACTTGGGACCGGATTAAGATTGAAAGGAAGTGGGTTCTAGTCCCATATCCATTACTTATTAGCTGTATGACCTAAGGCAAGTCACTAAACTTCTATGGGTCTCAGTTTTATACTTGTATAAACCGACAGGGCTGAACTAAATAATCTCCAAGACCCCTTCCTGCTCTAAAAGTGTGTGATTCCCTGGTCGCTTACCCACCTAGTCGTATTTGAATGGTAATGGAAACATTTTAAGATTGTCTTGTTACTGAACCTTCTCCCCAGTTGGGAGTTAGGTACCTCTGAAAACTATGTTAACTTCCGTAAACCACTGGAGTGATACCTACTGCCTTGAAGTAGTCGTTAGCACTACTTCCAGAGAAATTTAACACGTAATCCGCTTACTTCTCTGGAGAAATCACTGTCCAAAGATTAAGGTGCTGTGTTAGAAAACAAGGAACCCAACTCATTCCTCAGGCAATGAGTTTACACAGGCAAATGAGGGCTTATTTACATAATTAATTGAATGGACATTGTAAGCTTTCTCGCTAAAGTCTTTCCCCTCATAGGAAAATAAATAAAAGCTTCCCAGTGGACAATATCTTTTTTGACCCAAAATACATGTTTTTATATATGCATATAATTTTATCCATACAGACTCATCATTAATGTGAATTTGAGGTAGAATCTAGGATTCAGCTTTTATTAGTTTCCCTTTGTAGAAAACAAAATATATATGTGTCACCTACAAAGCATCAGTGAGACTCCTACATCTACTGGTTTCAAATAGGCTATAAATGACAAATAGTAATGAGAGGTGGTAGAGGGAGTAGAGCTGGTGAAAGGGGGGTCACGGCCACAGGGAGTATCAAACTTAAATCATTCCAGCTCACATCCTTGGAGAGGAGAAGGAATTTCCATTGTCCAGTAATTAAATATAAATTCCTGGGAAAGGGCTTGGGTGGCCTGGTTCAGATCACCTGCCCACCCCTGAACCAATCATAGTGGTCACAGGAACATAATGCACATCACAGCTCAACCTTTGGGGTGTGTAGGTATGTGTGTGTCGGGGGAAGGGGTGTCTGTTATCAGAAATGAGGGTGAGTGAAGGAACTCTCAGGGAAGAAACATGTTCAACAGGTAGAAACAATATCCCTCATAGACAAACTGGCCCAGGACATCCAAAGTCAAGTTTTACACTACTGGTCTTTTCTCCAAAATTTTCTTCTGGATATGTCAATATTCTTATTTTACCCTCATTTTTCATGTATTAATTCAATATTTATTAAGTGCTTGAAAGTTATTGATCCTTGTGGCTAGACCAGAAAGAACATGACAGACGTAATCTCTATCCCCGTGATATTTATTATATTACAGTCTAATGGGGGAGGTGGACTATTGAACACCTAATCACCATGTGCAGAGTGGCACAAAGATGGGCAGGGTGTAACAGGAGCATTTCACAGAGCCAACCAAAGTGGAGATAAGAAATAAGCCACATACTACAAAAAGAGCGAGAAATGCCTTGGATATCTCACGTTATCTAAAATATGAGCAGAAGGTGGTCATCCTCTCATATCAGCATAAATCTCAAAGGAAAAAATGGACACATTTTGCAAGTATAGGCCTTGAGGCCCAGGAAAAATGGCCAAGATGCAAACCCCACCAGGAACATCCCAGAGGACTCTAGCCTATGATCACCTGACACAGCAGGCAGCAGGCCCACTGGGGCGAGAGGTGCTAGAATAATGTTCTCTTTTACATACTCAGAGACAACTTGGTTGGATATCTTTCTGACTGAGAAAATACAACTGTCTTAAAATTATATTTTGGAAGCATTTAAAAAAATTATTGGCAGCCACAAATGAGATAAACTTGCATTTGACTGGCTAAAGGTCCTATACATTTTTAAAAAATTGATAGCTGTGATTTACTGAAGCTTTAACAGTCTACTAAATTTACCCAAATCAGCATATTTAAACGAGGCATGGGGGAAGAGGAGGAGGCGGTGAGATAGACCGTATGAGAGAGAGAGAGAAAGAAAATACATACACTTGAACTTGCTGCACTGGAGCAAACACTTCCAGCCAGATGTCACATATATCTTTGAAGCTGGGTAGTACAATGTTCTGTGTTAAATGCATTTTATGGGGATTTGGAGAGGATTTAGGTAAAGGCTGCCCCAATAAATGATTTATCAGCTCTAATAAAACATCAAGGAAATTGCTCAGATTGTATCTCAGACCATTTAAAACACAAGTTTATAGAGGTCTCAGCAGCCCCCATATCCTCAACCCTGGTTTAAAAAGAAATGTGTATAGTGGTTAATTATCCCATATTCCTTTTTTTAAAATGGTAGCAATTTCAAGACAAGGGAGAGATTGGAAGTAAATTAATAGGTATGACAACCAAGGGAGTTGGGAGAGAGAAAGAAACTGACTGATCACTCATTCATCCTTTTATTCACTCATTCAATGAATATTTACTGATCACCTATTATAAACCAGGTACTCTAGAGCTTGGGCCAGGAGTGACCTGACAAGAGGGGTTCCTTCTGGCTGTTGCATGAGAGGGAACAGAATAAGCAAATAAATGAAATAAGTAGAAAAGATTAATTTAAATTGTGATAGATACTTTAAAGGAAACAAACAAGGTGATGAGAAAGTAAGTAACCAGAGGAGGGGAGGGAATTACCTTATGTGGGATGGTCAGGAAAGGCCCCTCTGGGGAGATAAAATTGATGCTGAGACCTGCAACATGTGCAGCCAACCATACTACTAAGAACTGAGAGAGCATTCCAGACAAAGGAGGCATCAAGTGTAGAGGCCCTGGTGTGATAAAACCTTGGTGTGTTTGAAGAAGAGAAAGGAAAGTCATCCTAGGGTGACCTGTGCCCTCTATTTTAACCTTTAGAAATGACAATTTCATCAAAATTTATTATTATTAATGTTAATAATATTAGTTATCTTTATTAAAAATCTACATGTTCCAATCACTGTAGAGGCTATCTTATATACATTACCTTTCAACTTTCACAATAACCATAACATCCCACAATGCAGGTATTATTATGCCAGTTTGATACAGGAGAAAACAGCCTCTGAGAGTTTAAGTAAATTGTTTCACATTACACAACTGTGGCAAAACTGGAATTCACACTCAGGTTCATCCACAAAGCCTACGCTCTTTCATCTCCTCTTACTTGTTTGTTTTGTTTGACAAATATTTGTTGACCTCTATGCTAGGAGCTGTGCACACAGAAACAAATGAAGCAAAATGTGGTAGGTTATGCCTCCAAAGATGGCCACACGATGTCTTCCATCCCAACATGCTCTTTTGCAATGTCACCGTTCCACTCACATCAAGAGGTGGAGTCTATTCCTCCTCTGTCTGGCCCGGAGACTTGTTTTGACCAACAGAATATGATGGGAGTCACTCTGTTAACTTTAAAGCCTTGGCTGTAAGATATTTGCAGTTTCCACCATTTTCTGCTTGGAAAAATGTTACTTGGAAGCCAGGCACCCCACTGTGAGGAAGCCCAAGCCCAAGTGGAGAGATGCCCATGTGGGAAAGTGAGGACCTCAGTTAAGAACAAAAACTGAGGTCCCAGACATATGGTCCCAATTGAGGTATCCGAGCCAGGCCCCAGCTATTTGGGCCACCTCAGCCAAAGGCCCAGACATGGTGGAGCAAAGACAAGCTTTCCATTATGTGTCCTGCCTAAATTCTCTACCCACAGAATTGTGAAGAAATAAGATGGTTGGTTCAAGCCGCAAAGCCTTCAGTGATTCAGCATGCAGGAATAGATAACCAAAACACAGAATGAGCCCCAGCCTGGTGAAGGAGATAACCATATAAATATCTTAAAAAAAAGTAAGTGAGTGTCATGAGAGAACAACAGAGAAGCATCTAATTCAGTGTAGAGCAAGAGTGAGAAAGTGTTTTCAGTAAAGAGCTAGACAGTAAATATTCTAGACTTTGTGGGCCATGCTATCTTTGCCTTGACTACTCAATTCTGCCATTGTAGGGGGAAAAAGCCAAAGACAATATGTAACCAAATGAGTGTGTCTGAGTTCCAATTAAACTTTTTTTACAAAAACAGATGCAGGACAGAACTTGACCAGGGGGCTGTACTTGCCAGTTCCTAGTCTAAACTTAGAGCATGAGGTAAAGCCAACTAAAGGAGAAATGCCTGAGAGTTGCATCTAAAGGATGTATCAGAAACTCTGAGATCCTTGTAAATTCTTAAGCCTTTTAATTCTATGTAAGATAATAATGACATTGTGAAATTGCATACACTGGACTCTGAAAGATCATCGCAACTGAGGTAAGCCAACAGAGAGCTGAGTCACCAGAGAAAGCCTGGAGAGGCAACAGGACAGACAGAGGAGCTGGGAGCCTGAGAGCTTAACCGAGCTTCTCCAGTCCAGGTGAACCTCAAACAAGGAGCAAGAACTTAATATGTGGTCCAACAGAAGCTCCAGCTCTCTCATCTGCACTACAGTAAGCACCTGGTAACTCTGCTCCGCAGTTATTTTACTGAATGAAATTTAATATGTACTTTTCCCTCTCCCCCTAGAGACTATCACAAATTGAGAGGTTTTTAAGAACAGGAAGCTTTTTTCTTACTTGAAAATTGTATTTATTGTATATTTTTTCTTTCTAGAAGGGGCATGCGTATTTCTTGTCTTCTGGGCTCCTTGGCTTCCCTTCCTGCCTGATAAGCACAAGCCTGCGTCTCTTGATCCAGAGAATGACTCACCGGGTAGCCTGGAGACCACACTTCAGCTACTTCAGGAAAGCATTGGTGAAAGTATTTCACCAATTTAACTCTCAAATTTAAGTGAAAACCGGTAGGACTTATTAAAAATATGATTGGGTAAAGGAAATTTGAGCTGATACCATGTCCTTCCGATGGTATTTTCAGGATGGAAGAGTAAGAAAAAACTCTTTGGGAACCAAGGCATAAGGCAGATAAATGCCCAGTGGGCAAACCACTCAGGCCATGGATCTTGAGGTGGGCAAGGAGGCAGCGGTTTGGAACAGATGACTTTGACTAGCTACTCTGTCTCTTCTTTCCTAGCTTACTCCATGTGTCACTCTGTCACGTACTGTTTCTTCCCCCACCCTTGATGAATGCCACCATTGAAAAATTCTGTAATCATTACCTCTGAGACGTTCCATTGCTCACTTTTATGTATTTTTTCATATTTGCTACATGTATGCTTGCATGGACAGATATACTTACTGAGAGTACCTGTAGACATATACTTGAGAGAGCAATAACTATGATCTGCTTAGATCTTAAGTGAACTAAGGTTTACAGCATGTTATCAACCCCAGCTATTCTCCCAATTCCGTCTCCAGACACTGCTCACAACAAATTGTCACCGTTGCTCCACTGTATTCTTCCCCCCAAGATTTGGCTCAAACTTTTTCCAAGAAACTTTCTCCATTCTCAAGCAAATTTGGCCATGATCTTCTCCACGTGTGTGTGTGGCACTTTGTGCACTTTCTTAAAATAGTGCTATCACATCACACTAATATTTTTAAACATCCATTCACTTCATTGGACTATGAGCTTTCACAATCAAGGCACATATTGTATAGCCTGTAACAGACATGCAATCAACATTTGTTGAATAAATTAACAATAAAATAATAGAATAAATAAAGATGTTGAATTCAAGGAATTTAAATTTGAAAAGAGAAATAGAGGGTATAGTTACTCACCAAACTGAGAATTTATGTTTCTCCGGTTCCTCCAAGTAAGATGTATCCTCTGAATAATCTTCAATTTCTCCAGTTCTCCAAGCAGTTGATTTTTCCTTTACAGAATGATCAGTCAGGCTTTCTCTCTTATCGGTGAAATTAAATAAATGAAAAAAAATGATGTCTTTCAGCAGATAGAAAGTTTACCTGATTTCAGTGACATTTTCCCAAGAATGACTTATACAACCATTGATCACACAGAAGCATAGTTTCCTGTGGTTTTTGCATTGAAATTATTGCTTTACATTTCAGATTCCCTCACTAAATTCTCATGTCTATAAAGGCAGAGACTATGTCATGTCCACTTTTGTATTATTTCGCATGGAATAGCTTCTACAAATGTTGGTGGAATAAAAAGATAAAAACAACCATGGTCATGGTGTTTGTATTAAGTCAGGACTATTGGCTGCAAGTCAAGGAAATAGAGCTTGAACTAGCTTTCAGCAAAAAAGAATTTGAAGGAAACTTTGAACAACCAGCTGATCGGGAAGTCAGAAAAGCAGCTGGATTTGGAAACACGGGAGCAAAGGCGTCAAAGGCCACCAGGACTCTTTCTCCACCTCTGCTCTCTGCTTCAGCAGGCTACTCCATTCTAGCACTGTCACCAATAGCTCCTGAGTTCCACGGCGTGTGACTTTCAAAACATAAATTTAAACTCAGGACCATGCAGTGTCTGTAGAGCTAATTTACTAGAACTTGAGAGACTCTTGTGACCCACGATGATGGGTCCAGCAAATATATTGTCCCATTGGAGACCAGGGACTCTTAGGAGCCGCCCTGTGATGAGGAGTGTGAAGAGGGAGCAGCTAACATGGCCAGACTCTTCCTCTCTCCTTCACCAAAATCAGTTCAGCTTTTACCTGTGTATATATTGAGGTCTCCAGTAAGATGTTATTACAAAACACTGCTGACAAAATGACATTTGAAAACCGCTAGTCTACAGAAGAAGAAAACTAGGCATGACTGGCATTTATAAGATAGCTGTGTTAAAACTCTTTTTCCTTTTTTTTAGACTCTTCTCAAATGTTTTGAATTATCACTTGTAGGAGGCTGGTTACCTGAAATTCCTTGACATCAGTTCACACAAGTTTTAGCACAACTCTGTAGTTGAAATATTTTGCAATTGCAAAACCTTGTTTTCGATTCACAGGTTGCAGTCACCAAGAAAACCTTAGAGTGAAACTCTGGTGAAGAAGATGTGTCATCAGATCTCTAATGAACTCAGCAAGGCTCATGTCTTTTATTATGAAATTGATTGATTTGATTACCTTAAGAACAAAATCCAATTATGACAGCCATCAATTTAAAGTACTGTCCTCTTTGTCTTTCTCAGCCTCTATAGTTCCTGTACCAATAATGGTATCTTCAATCAGATTATTTAGTGTTAGTATTTTTAATTACTCCATTTCTGAGTAAATTAGAGTGCCACAATTCTTTAAAAATATATGAGAGCTTTGAATTGTCCCAACTCAATATATTTTATTTGCATAGCTCACTAGACTGCTTAAAATATGCTTTTGTAGCTATTTAAATTTCAAGTTTAATGGCATTTCTTTATGAGTTTAGATACTTTATCCAATCTCACTTGATAGAAAGTTGAAATGGCCACCAAGAGGTACATCATAGATTTGGTTTACCCACCAAAGCTCCTGATTTCTTAAAGTATAGGTGTTTCACAACAGAGTGTATGAAATTGCTTTCTTTTTGGTTAACCTGTGAACATCGATCTTGATTGTTCAACTAAATTCACAGTGGAAATTGGATCTAGTATATTTCTTTGTATCTTTCACAGCACCTAACATGGTAATAACCACATAATAGATATTCAAAAAATAGCTGTTAGAGGTCATTGCATTAAGTATTTGTATTGCACTAACAACAATGGACTTCATCTCCAGGTGCTAAGTCACAAAGAAAAACATCTATGAATTCCAAAAATAGCAAAAATTTTTTGAACCTTTGGATTTCCTTAAAAGAATATCTAAGTTAATGTGCTAAAAATTCATTCAAATGCTTGTTTTGGAAGACATAAAACTTGGAAACGAGATCATCTCTAAAGAAATGAGCCCAAAGAGGGACAAAACCACAAAGAAATGAGTTTTTATTGCTTTTTTTAAAAATTTTTTATTTATTGCAGTAACATTGGTTTATAACATTGTATAAATTTCAGGTGTACATCATTTTACTTCCATTTCTGTATAGATTAACATCACGTTCACCACCCAAACACTAATTACCACCCATCACCACACACATGCGCTTAATTATCCCTTTTGCCATCTTCCCTCCCCCTTTCCCCTCTGGTAACCACCAATCCAATCTGTCTTTATGTGTTTGTTTGTTGTTGTTATATCTACTACTTAATGAGTGAGATCATACAGTATTTGAAATTCTCCCTCTGACTTATTTCACTTTGCATAATACCCTCAATGTCCATCCACATTGTCACAAATGGCTGGATTTCATCGTTTCTTATGTCTGAGTAGTATTCCATTGTGTATATAACACATCTTCTTTACCCATTTGTCCCTTGATGGGCACTTAGGTTGCTTCCAAGTCTTGGCTATTGTGAATAACGCTGCAATGAACACAGGGGTGCATGTATCTTTACGCACTGGTG